CGCACAATGTAAAGCAAGAAGAAAACCTGTGAAAAACAACGGTCTTAAATGTGCTTTGTGTAACTTTCTTCATGGAGACTTACGGAGTTCAACAATGACGCAAAAGTAAATGTGTCGCTATAAAAGAAGACGACATGTTTGTCCACAAAATTGCAAGGAAGGTCTTCTGATAATAATAATAATGCATCAGTTTTATACAGCGTTTTTTTGGACACTCAAAGACGCTTTACAGAGCATTTATTCATTCACTCCAGACTTGGTGATGGTAAAGCTTCTATTGTAGCCACAGTTGCCCTGGGGCAGACGGACCATCACCATCACTCACAGAACAGCAGAACTTCCGAAGCAAATAAACCAGAGAGAATAAAATATCCAAATTGAAATAGGCACGATGACTGTTTTTTGAGTGGTGTTATTTGAAATAAACTTTAAATTAACTTTAAATTAAGTATTGGAAATAGGGGTCTTTTTTTTTTTACACTAAAATGGAATAATGAAATAACTGTTTTATTGTTTTTCATTTTTAATTGCGATTCAAAAGAACAAATAGTACACGGACCGCTCCTGATAATGTGTTGCTTAAATCCATTTAGTATTTTCCTTGATTTTAAAACTGTCAAACAAGTGCTCTTCTTCACGGAGATGTTATTGCTTTGTCTGGAATGTTTCAAATCCGTGTATCATTCGTTCATTCGTTTTTCAATATAAAACCAAAAATAAGAAAACAAAAAAACAACAGTTTTCTTCGTTATTTGTCTCCAAAACCAAAATGAAAAAAACAGATAATGATTCATTTTTTCAGTTTTCGATTTTGTGTTTAAATGAAGAAAGGAAAAAAAGGATAACGGCCGTTTCCCGTTTATGTGACTCTCGTGACTGTGATGCTGAACTTTTGCACCGCGTACGGACTGAACTAGGACTGATCCAGGTCCGGGACCACACCGGGACCAGACCGGGACCAGAGCGGAACTGAGACCGAGACCAGTGTCCGAGTGGTTCCATGTCATCGTCTCCGCGCTGGTTCCGTGTGAGGAAAGTGAGAATGTTCTGTGAACTCCAGGTCTGGACGAGCTGCTCCAGTCCTCCACACTCAAGAACCACGGCTGGTTCCGAGGTGGAGCAAAACATCCGACTGACGCTTTCACACCAACGAAAATGAACCGAACTAAGAGCTTTTGGTTCAAATGGACCAGGTCCGGGACCAGACCGGGACCAGGGCGCTACTGAGACTGGGACCAGACCGGGACCAGAGCGGGTCTGAGACAGAGACAAGACCGAGACAAGACCGAGACCAGATCGGAGGCTCAGAGCCCACGGCAGGGCCGGAGCTCGAAGCTGAGGCTTGGACCCCGTGGAGGCTCAGAGTCAAAGCTTGGAGTCCGCCCCAGTCCCGCTCTGGTCCTGGTCTGGTCCCGCTCTGGTCCTGGTCTGGTCCCGCTCTGGTCTCGGTCTGGTCCCGGTCTGGTCTCGGACCTGGATCAGTCCTGGTTCAGTCCGTACCCGCTGCAAAAGTTTGGCATCGCAGTCACGGAAGTCACGTAAACGGGAAACGGCCGTTATCCGTTTTTTCCATTCTTCATTTAACCACAAAATCGAAAACTGAAAAAACGAATCGTTATCCGTTTTTTCATTTTGGTTTTGGAGACAAATAGTGAAGAAAACTGTTGTTTTTTTAGTTTTCTTATTTTTGGTTTTATATTGAAAAACGAATGAACGAATGATCACAGATTGTTTCACAGTGTGGCATTATATGATATCTTCATGAACCAGACCAAGTTACAGGTCAGATCTGTGGAGAGGCAACACCGCTCACAGTCACGTTTGTTTGTTTTTCTCTGTATTTTTGAGCTATAAAACCACCTGTAACTGAATAAACGTAAGGTAGAGCTGTTTAATGTCACACTGTGGAACATTCCAGACAAAGTAATGACACATCCATAGAAACAAGCAGGTGACTGAGCCCAAACCTAAAAGTTACACAGTGCACCTTTAACACTTTTTTAACCTGTGTTCGCTGATGTGTGCATTGCGTCACCATGGGAACTACTAAAATGTCCATTAATAGACATCCACGTAGAACAACACCAATGCAAGAACGCCGTGCATTTCCGAACACGTTTGCGGAGCTCTAAACTACAGGGTTAGCAGCTTTTAGGCAGAATAAGTCTCCATGGTGACAGAATATTTTGTTTGTTGAACATATTACGACCTAAATAATAGCAGCCTTTGTAATTTGCTAATTGCGGTCCCTCAAATTAAGGTTAATCTCGTAATCCGAACACATAAACAAGCAAAAACGTGTCTTAAAAAATAATACGTATTTACTCCAGAGTTAATGAGTGTTTGGGTGGATCAGGGCCATTTGAGGTTTTGAAGCTGGTACAAATCCTAGTTCAACATCTGCAAAGTCTGCCCATAGAAATGATGAGTCAGCATGTTTTGACCACACCGTATATTACGCAATGATATTTATGCTGTAATTCTACTATGGTTTGGACCTGGTTTAGACCTAGTCCTGGTTGAGATCTGAGGCTGTATGTATTAAAGGCCCTAAATTAAGCAAAACTAATTCTTGTGAGCTTGGAGCCAGGTTAGAATGTTGTTACCTCCTTAAAAACAGACCTGGAGTTGTGTTTTGTTTCATTCACACGTGTTTGACTCACACTTTATTATTAGTCTGTTTACATCTCAAAAGCTCAAAATTCTCTCTTCCACCTTGTGATGTCATGAACCCGTAGTTTTCAAGGTACAGTCAAGCCCAAAATTATTCATACCCCTGACAAATTTTGACTTAAAGTTACTTTTATTCAACCAGTAAGTTTTTTCTTGATTGGAAATGACACAGGCGCCTCCCAGGAGATAACAAGATGATGTAAAAAAGGCATCATTGTGGAAAAAAATATTTCTCAGCTTTGTGACATGTCTAAAATTATTCATACCCTTTGTAAACAATCAGAGTCTATGGAAAAATCCAAAGTTCTATACCATTCCAAACAGCACAAGTTGTTCTAAAACTTCCTAATGACCCTGATTCATTGGGAAGAGCTGTTTTAAGCAACTGAACAGATGAAAAACAGCAGGTCTTTGCAGTTGGTTTGTGAACAGGGGTATGAATAATTTTTGGCTTGACTGTAACAGCTCCTTTTACTTTTAGATCAATAGAGATGAGCAATTCCAGGTCTGAAAATAGATTCCTCCCGGAGCTCGGAGTAGAGTCGCTGCTCCTCCATGTCGAGAGGAGCCAGTTGAGGTGGTTCGGGCATTTGTTGCGGATGCCTCCTGGACGCCTTCCTTGGGTGGTGTTCTGGGCAGGTCCCACCGTAAGGAGGCCCCGCGGAAAACCCAGGTCACTCTGGAGCGACTATGTCTCTAGGCTGGCCTGGGAATGCCTCGGAATACCCCCCGGAGGAGCTGGAGGAAGTGTCTGGGGTGAGGGAAGTCTGGGAGTCCCTGCTTAGACAGCTGCCCCCGCCACCCAGCCCCGGATAAGCGGAAGAAAATGGATGGATGGATATTAGATTCTAGAGAAGGTTCTAGTGAAGGAGTTTAAAAACACAGTGGAGCACTTCCTGTATCACCACATGACATCACAAGGTGGAACAAGGTGTTTTTAGTTTGAGAGAAGAACTCAGATTTGAAGGATTTATGTGTTAAACATTTGTGAATGAAACAAAACACAACTCCAGGTCTGTTTTTGATGAAGAAACAACTTTATAACAGATCAGAAAATAGTAGGAATGCAACGATATCCAAATCTCTCTGTACGATATTATCACGATATGCATCTCACGATATTGCGATATTTTGCAGAGGCTAATATAATTGTAGATAGGACACTTTTTTGCTTTTAAAATACCATGACAAGATTTTGGTGTGAATTATTTCCGTCAAAATCCCAAGAATTCAAGTAAAAAACATATTTCTTCATGTTGTCTGCACTGAAATGAATCATGGGATATGTAGTTCCTTATGCTGTAAGCTGTTGCTACTTTAAAACCATGCATTTAAGTAAAGGAACTTGTAATTCGATGTATTGTGAGACTTTTGACGATACGATATCACGATATTTCGGTTATTGTTACATCCCTAGAACATAGCGTAATATTGGTGCTTTAAATGTTTTTATCTTTTAACCATGTCATAACAGTTGTATTTTGATTGATTGATTTATGCAAGAATAATTAATTTTTTTCCTGCATTTGAGGTTTGAGTGGTCAGAAAATCCGGGTTATACATGCAGGATTTAAAAATGTAAAGAGACAATCCTGATAGACCTATTATTGTCATATAAAACCTCGATACTGTATCACAGGGGTGTCAAACTCATTTTGGTTCCGGGGGCCGTATCCAACCTACTTTGATCCCAAAGGGGCCGGATCAAAAAACTCACGGCATATAAACCCCAAAAATAAAAATAAATTCAAATATTTGTGCAGAGAAACACAAATCAATTACAGAAATCTTTTTTAATTGATGAACTCTTTCTTTTACAAAATATTATAATATTATGAACAACCTGAAACTTTAAGAAAAATGCAATTTCAACACAAAGTTTAACATGAACTTGTATGTAAATAGGAATAAGTCAATTTTTCTTGAACAATCCTGCACTCGGCTCCACTTTTCTCGTTTTTGACATTTTTCTGATGAGGGTGTCACGGTCAACAGTCAAAATGATCGTCCTTTAAGAGCATTTGGAAAGAGACAAGTCTTCATTTGTGCTGCTCTGGTGGGAGGGGCCACGTACAGAGACGCTGGAGACGCTGCTGTGATAAACACCGCAGAAAATTAACAAGATTTTAATAGAAAATATAATATTTTAGTAGAAAATCAGCCGAGGGCCAGATTAAAGGTCTTGGAGGGCCGGATCTGGCCCCCGGGCCGTATGTTTGACACCTGTGCTGTATCATATTTTACTCGGCAGTGACTACGGACTTGGTCAGTGTTCCAACATGACGATAGTGACATATTCAGAAGAACAATGAACAAGTTCCAAGTACCTTTACACGCTCGTCTGTGGGAGATGGACTTGGTCATGTCTCTGTAGTATCCCTCTTTGCAGTAGTGGCAGTGGCGTCCGGCCGTGTTGTGGCGACAGTTGAGGCAGACTCCTCCGCTGCGGCGTCCCGACAGTTTGTACAGCTCCATGTTAAAGCGACAGCGGCGGGCGTGAAGGTTACAGTGGCAGGCTGCAAGAGAAAACACACAAGGAATCAGTTTCATCGATGTTAAAATGGGTACAAAGCGTGATATGAGTAGTGTTGGGGAGTAACAGATTACATGTACCAGAGTTACGTAATCAGAGTACAAATTATGAGTAACTGTATTCGGTTACAGTTACTTTGTTTAAATAAGTGGATTACACAGTGGTATTTTCTTGTTTTTACATTTTGGGCTATATCCCTTTTTTTTTCTTTTTTTCGTAATTCCACTCATTGCCGGACACTAAACGAGGTCTAAAACCAGGTCTAAACCAGGTCTAAAGCCAGGTCTAAACCAGGTCTAAACCAGGTCTAAACCAGGTCTAAAGCCAGGTCTAAACCAGGTCTAAACCAGGTCTAAAAGCTAAACAGGTCTAAACCAGGTCTAAGCCAGGTCTAAACCAGGTCTAAACCAGGTCTAAACCAGGTCTAAAGCCAGGTCTAAAGCCAGGTCTAAACCAGGTCTAAACCAGGTCTAAAGCCAGGTCTAAAAGCCAGGTCTAAAACCAGGTCTAAACCAGGTCTAAAGCCAGGTCTAAACCAGGTCTAAACCAGGTCTAAACCAGGTCTAAAGCCAGGTCTAAACCAGGTCTAAACCAGGTCTAAACCAGGTCTAAAACCAGGTCTAAACCAGGTCTAAAGGTCCAGGTCTAAACCAGGTCTAAACCAGGTCTAAACCAGGTCTAAACCAGGTCTAAAGGTCCAGGTCTAAACCAGGTCTGAAGCCAGGTCTAAAACCAGGTCTAAACCAGGTCTAAGGTCTAACCAGGTCTAAACCAGGTCTAAACCAGGTCTAAACCAGGTCTAAAGCCAGGTCTAAACCAGGTCTAAACCAGGTCTAAACCAGGTCTAAACCAGGTCTAATCCAGGTCTAAACCAGGTCTAAACCAGGTCTAAACCAGGTCTAAACCAGGTCTAAACCAGGTCTAAAGCCAGGTCTAAACCAGGTCTAAACCAGGTCTAAACCAGGATTTAACAGGACTAAATCATGCTGCGTGGACCATGTCTCCTCCTCTTCTATCAATAATATTTTTAATATGGTTCAGTAAAGTCTGGCCTTTTTATTGTCTATTATCAGACAAAACTTCTTATGTGAAGATTTCCTCGTCTTTGCTTCTCTACAGCAAATCAAGTAATCCAAAGTATTCAGATTACGTTACTCACTTGAAGTACCTTAATGGATTAAGTTACAAACTACATTTTGGGGTATGTAATCTGTAATCTGTAGGGGAATACATTTTAAAAGTCACCTTCCCAACACTGGACATGAGTGAATCCATCAGGTCATGTTACAGATCAGGCCTGTGGATGGGCAAGCTCACAGTACGAACACGTGTTTTTGTAACTGAAATGAAACGCAAATGAACTATGTCAGCATTTATGTTCAAAGTTTTCCCATTTATTTTAACTTTTTTTCTATTAATAATTATGATTTAACCAAATAATTTTAAGGGAAGGTACACACATGTTCGGGAAATTTGCTCTCTGCATTTGACCCATTTCCTCAGGAGCAGTGAGCACCACAACCCTTCTCCATGATGCTGTTTCTAGTCTTGATCAGGACTACTTTGACCTATTGTACATGTTTTGGGTTGAAACCAAAGTGCAAAGTGCAATGTTGTGTGAGAAAACCCACAACATGCAAACTCTTTAGGGTGACCAGACGTTCCTATTTATTTACCCGTGACAGTCCCAGTTTTGAGCCCTGTGTCCAATGTCCCAACAGATTTGTCCAAGTTTTATACAAGACTTGTCCCAGGTGCCGCTATTTTCAACCAATTTGATCCCTGCCAACAGTAAAGAGACGCATAAATTGTCATTTGTTTCCGTAAAATACTTTGAAGCACTGTTAAAAATGACCAAAACACAAAAAAATGTGACTATACTGACTCAAATGTTAGTCATGAATGGGCTGTGTGAGTAACAATTTTCCTTAATTACGCACTTGTTTCGCTATTTTTATTATTAGCAACCAAGCCAAAGCAGGGGGTGTCACAAGCACTTTGAAAAACTTGACAAAGACAAGTGGATTTTGGAGCTGTTTCCTGTCTCCCTGGTTTCAGAGGGTGTGATTGACAAGTGAATCAACCTATCAGAGGGATGCATCTGTTTGCATCAGAAACACCACTGCTTATATATGAAAAAGGACTGAAAAACAGCAAGTGGGTTTTACAGAATCAAGAATCAAAGCACCAAACTAGTAGCCAGGCTGGTACCACCTTGTGACTCCGCTCAATTTCATTTCAATTTCTCTCCAGCGACTAGGTCAGGAATCAGAATACACTAGAAGGTTTGCAAAAAACCCCGGAAGTTGTAGACAGCGCAACAGTAAACAAAGCGGTCGAGATGGATGTAGACGAAGACAGACATTCAGTGTTGTCAACGATTCCCGAGATTGAGGATTTAAAGCTGGAACAAAGAGAATGTTTGGTGAATTTATCAAGGGGAAAGACATTATTGCCCTTCTTTCTACGGGATTTGGTGCATTACAAATAGCAGCGATTGGTTAAATAAAAAAAGTACCTGCCTACTGTCCAGCAAACAAATCCTAATGCTGCGAGATCAGATGGTTTCCAAGAAGTTAAACCGGCTGATGAATCAGGTAAGCCAAGAGTTACACGCTTTGAAAAAACTTTACAAAGACAGTGAATCTGCAGCTGTATCCTGTCTCTATGATTTTGGAAGATGTGATTGACAGGCGGATTAACCAATCAGAAAGATGCATGCTGTTTGCGTCAGAAACATGCCTGCTTAAACATAAAAAAGGACTGAAAACTAGAGGGGATTTTTAAAGAATCATCAACAGTCCTTATTAGGGGTGTAACAATATCCAAGTCTCACAATAGAAAATCGTCAAGATATGAAACTCACTGTACGATATTTATTGCGATATCATGGGAAAGCTCACAATTAAGAATGTAACAATACCAAATCAATAACCAAATCTCTCGTACGATATTTTCACAATATGCATCTCATGGTGCATTTATTGCGACATTTTGTGGAGGTGAACAAAACTTAATATGCTACTTTTTCCTCTAAAATACCTTGACAAGATTTAATCCTTAGAACTGTTATAAACTTAGAAGTGTTATTTCTTCTTGTAGTCTACACTGAAATGGTGCAAAGGATCATGGTCTATGTAGTTCTGTTTTGTCTTTTTTTAGCTATTGCTGCACCATAACTCTTAATTTAAGCAAAGAGACTTGTAATTCGATATATTGTGATGGCCCACGATATTATTTTGAGAACTTTGATAATACGATATCACAATATTTCTGTTACTGTTACATCCCTAGTACTTATTTCAGGTAAAAGAAGTTAGATTTGGTACAAATTAGCAGCTCTGGTCTCAAGTTTGGATGTCCTTTTTTCACGCTCTGTGTTCCGGTTCAATTCCCTTCTGGATTTGAACAGAATAAAGAAGACACCGGCCGGTCAAGCAACGCAAACTCCGCACGGAACGACCCGGGCCCCCAACCGTTCAACCACCGTACCGCCGTATTAACTTCCATGCATGTAAATAATACTCTTTTAAACTCTTTGGACACAGTTCTTCCTTATTTTGTAGTGTTTTAGCTCTTACAACACAACGTAAACACACTTGTAACTCAAACTCGCGCTGCCATCCTCAATTCGTTCGTGCAGTGTAACCATGCCTAAACTGGTGTGACACAATCAGAGGAAAGCTACAGCGACCACAGCCTTGCGTTCTTAGTGCTAGATCTAATTTCACTCCGATGGGGTTTTATACACGCTATTGTTTCAAAGTGCTGACGGTCCCCCCCCCCCCCCCCCCCGTTACGTTGGTCGCAGTTCTCCGAGGCCCCAAACCACAACGCCTTTCACCACTCTTCAAAAATATGACAATTCTGTAACTTGATCGTGTTCTGTTCTATTTTATATCCCCCGACCACATTATTTGGTAATAGCGTAAGAAGCCAAGAAAACAACAAGAATGTACTTCATTTTTAAATCCGTTGAATGCCAGGATAGAGTTTGAAGGATTAGAAAGAAAAAAAAGAAAATAAGTTGCAATTGCTTTTGACAAATATTGATTGCGATTAGACTTGCAGCGCTGTTTTCAATCAAGTTTCGGTCACAGTGCATATTTTAAAGGTCTTATATTGTGTAAAGTTGACTCTTGTGAGCTTTTAGACACTTTACCTGCGTTATTATTATAGTTTGCCAACATCTCCAGAGCTCAAAATGCTCGGATCCCCCTTGTGATGTCATGACGCGGTGGTTTTTACATTACCTTTTACCTTTTAGTAGAGATCCGTGAGATTGTGAGGCGAGTGTTTTCGGGAGGAAATCTGGTGACATGTAAAAGTGTGTGGAATTCGATTGGGTTTGTTTGTACTTAAAGCAACACGGGCATCTTTGGACATATGGAAGTTTTCACGGCATGTATTTTCATCAGCTCCTCCTTCCACAAAGTTGTCCCACCATCAACTGGTTCTCCAGTCCATAGTCGTCTGACTCGCCTGCGACGAACTGGTGCATCCAGAATTTGACAGAGGTGACTGCAGATCCTTCTCTCGTCACTAATAGCATCTCTGTAGATTCTGTACATTTGTTGGGAGCCTCCTGTCAGTTTATTAGAGCTGCCAGACGCATGGAAATGATCCGACATGTTTGTTTCTGTGTACTGTATGTATGTGATATGAGCAGATCTGACCAGAGTTTTGCATCTTGGGCAGTGTAGATGGAAACACTACAGTGGAGCCTATTCAGCTTTTCCACTCCACTTGGTGATTTCAGATTTTTGCATTTTTAAGCCCCAAAAACGGCGTCACCATCTAAACGAAAGGCACCACAACTAAAAGATTTTGAGCAGAGAAAAAGTTTATGATCTAAAAATAACCTTTTTGAAAACTGTAGATGCCCTGTCAGCCGAACACGAGCAGTTTGTGATTAGATTTTGGTCAATGGGAAAAATCCTTTCTGGGCTTTATTTTTTTATTTTTTTGAGTTAGTTGCTAGTC